CCTGATTGCTCCGGCCCAGCTCTGCTCTCAAAACTTCATCCCAATCAGAATCGCCCATTGCTTATACCACATTCCAGACTGCATTCATGCCCGAGAATGGCCCGCTAGAATCTAGACAACACATAGCAATAGCAGCTGAGACCTAGCAGCAAATGAAAACATGTTACTGCGCATCTACTTCTGTGCGTCTGTCTGCACACAATTGTCCCAAACTGCAGACTGGCCGTGAAACCAAGATGTGGTATAAAGTCCTGTAAGTGGCTAAGTGGGCTATATCTTCATGCTAGCTGCGAGCTGCTGCTGCTGCTGCTGCTGCTGCTGCTGCTGCTGCCAATCTACCATTTGTTTGACTTAGAGTCAAGCTAGGTAGAGTTGAGTAGAGATTGCCAACACTGCACACCTCCATGACATTGTACGTATCGGCTATCGATCAAAAATCCGAGCACTGAAGACCTAAGCACTTGTTAGCTGGTTTCTCATCAGCCAATGCCTGAGGCAACGAACTGCAAGAATCAAAGGGGAACTCATGGGCAAGAGAAACTAGGCATGTGGTTTTTGGGTCGTCAGACTCTATGGGCGGCTAGGGCGAGGGCCTCGGGGTCAGCTGGAGCCCGTCATGAACTTGCGGAATTACATCCACACAGAGGCCTGAGATGTTTCCAAACAAGCCTGAAGATTACCATTAAGCCTTCAACAAAACCCTGCAAAGTCTATGAGTCTGTGGACTTAGGAGCGGGGGCCGGGCTACAGAGGCTAACAAACCTCCAAACGCAATCCTGCCAGGTCCGATATGTCTAGTTCACTGAAGCTGCTTCATGATGGGACTTTCGACTCAGCTTAGAAAAGTAGGGTGGAAGGCACATGTTCGATAGCACAGTACTGGTAAGCTGGCAGATAACTGATAGGTAACCCAGAACGCCTGTAATCATGGCCTGGCAGGCATAGCCTCATTGTCTGGACAACAGACAGCAAACCTAGGCCTGCTGATTTAAACCTGCAACAACTGCGTGCACTACAAAAGGAGACAGAAGCATATGAACAACTTAGTAAAGATCTAGGGCTAGGAACACAGCATCAACATGAGGCATGAGACTGCGCCAGGAGAGCAAAACTGTAGCATCAGAAAAACCATGCAACCCAACCATACACCGTATGCGGTTGAAGCTCAGGTAGTTCAAACACAAAAAAAGACCAATACCTAGATATCGATTATTAACATAAACGCTGGCTGCTAGCTGTTAACTGTTAACTACTACCCAACAAGCACGAACGACTAAGTGTGGCATCAAGGGCGCCTCGGTCGGGAGATCTGGACCCACAGCTTCGCATCCAGCAAGATCTTGACCACATAATAGCCGTGCAGGAGTGGGGCTTCCCCAAGCAGCCCAAGAAACCTGGCAATAGGGACAATTGTTCCGCAGCTCACAAAAGAAAGCAGCAGCACAGTAGCAGCAGTACACCACACGGTCACTTCATCACACTGTCACGTCGACAGGTCAAGTACTTCTAATTATTCTACAATTAAACTAATTATGGGTCTAACTGCATTCCAAGAACAGCATCTGCCTTGCAGAAGCACAATGTCACGCACTGCTCCAACTGGCTGAGGTGATCAACATGACAGCATGCTATTGCGCAAGTCAAATCTAAGTAGAATACCTCAGTGGGAATGACTACAATGAACGACTCATATCAAGCAGTAAACATCCCGGCCGGGCCTCTGGTACGGCGTCTCATCAGTCGTGACGTCCAGCGGGTATGTGAACCCCATGACTTGTTCAAGAACCCCAACATGGGGCTGATACTTCAGGTACATAGATACCACAGAAGACATTGTTACCTTGTAGGCAACGTGGTCCTTGACTGCGCCAGTCTGGAACCGTTTGGCCCTCTGAACCGAAAACGGATCACAAGGCGACCCTGTCACCATGACATCTACCACCTGAGGAGCACCTTTACCAGAAAACTCCTCACAAGCTACGCCGGCATCGGCACAAAAAACACATGGCCCTTTAGGATGCAATTGGCCTTGCACGGTTGCATGTAAGTGCCTGATGTGTTCACGATGGTTCGCTTTGAGAAACTGCTGGTACTGGTCATTGCTCTCCGATGCAGAGATCAGATCGAAGTCGATTCGGAGGCCCTGCCAATCAATGAAGCACAGCATGGATGCTCAGGCAAGGTGGTTAGGGTATACACTATGACTTGGCAAGCGACCGAAAAACTAAAGGGGCGGAGCATACAACCTTACCTTGAGACTTGGATTTGGGTGGAAGCCACATCCCCTGGAGACCGTAGAATCTACGCCTACGCTGCGCACAAGCTCAGCAGCTTTGGGAGCTAGACCTGTTGTCAAGCACTGGCAGCCCGGCAACCATCAAAGCCCTTGGACCCAAATTCCAAAAGCGAGCCTTAAATGCAAACAGCAAACAACTTGCAACATAGAGACAACTACTATTTGGGTTCGACTTTCCACAACAAGGAGAAGGGGCTGCTTAGGGATCTCAAAGAAACGGACCATAGAACCTTGGGATAGGGGGGCACAATAGGGATCCCTACACGCATACCCTCTGCCCAGATAAGGCCCTGCAGCTTCCCTGATGAAAGCTTCGAACCCTGCGCCTAACACGTATAACTAACGGCAGAATCCATTGGGAAGGCTAAAACCACCACAGACCATCAGTTTGACTCACGGCTGAGTACTGTTGTATCGATGAGATATAATGACATCAGGAGATCAGTGATGTGTTTACTGTGTATTGCGGCCACTATAGATCTTCACAACCTGGAGGAATTCTCGCACCTGATTATCAAAGTGAGGTGAAAGCAATGATGGAACGACTCATTGCAAAGGTTCGAACTTCGATCACGCGCAAGCCCCAAAAATCATTGGCCTGTACACTTCAGCAGCTAAACATGGAACCGCTGGGTAGCAAGCAGAACTCTGCGAAGCAACGCTGGATCAAATAAAGATGTCAGG